TTTTATACTTTATATAATGTGCAAAAGCTTGAGAAAGAATTTCTATTTTTGTTTCTTATTTTTGCAATTTTTAAGTCTAAAAGTTAATTGGAAAAGAGAAATTTATATTTTTAATATTATTTATGATTAAAATTTTTCTTTGAATAGAAAAATTCGTTTTTTTTTTTGCAAATTTTTCTACAACTTCAATATTAATATTCAGAAAACACTTTTGCAACTTTATTGAAAACTATAGTACATTTTTTTAGTAAAATCATACTTTTACTTAAAAATTTGTATTTGGTTACTAACTATAAAGTTTATACTGTTATATAATGTGCAAAAACTTAAAAACACAATTTCTATTTTTGTTTCTTATTTTTCGCAAATTTTTAAGTCTAACAATTAATTAGAAAAGAGAAATTTATATTTCTATTAGTATTTATGATTAAAATTTTTTCTTTGAATAGAAAAATTCGTTTTTTTTTTTGCAAATTTCTCTACAACTTCAATGTTAATATTTCAAAAAACACTTTTGCAACTTTATTGAAAACTATAGTACATTTTTTTAGAAAAATCATACTTTTACTTAAAAATTTGTATTTGATTACTAACCATAAAGTTTATACCGTTATATAATGTGCAAAAGCTTGAGAAAGAATTTCTATTTCTGTTTCTTATTTTTTGCAATTTTTAAGTCTAAAAGTTAATTGTAAAAGAGAAATTTATATTTTTAATATTGTTTATGATTAAAATTTTTCTTTGAATAGAAAAATTCGTTTTTTTTTTGCAAATTTTTCTACAACTTCAATATTAATATCTCAGAAAACACTTTTGCAACTTTATTGAAAACTATAGTACATTTTTTTAGTAAAATCATACTTTTACTTAAAAATTTATATTTGGTTACTAACTATAAAGTTTATACTGTTATATAATGTGCAAAAACTTAAAAACACAATTTCTATTTTTATTTCTTATTTTTCGCAAATTTTTAAGTCTAACTGTTAATTAGAAAAGAGAAATTTATATTTCTATTAGTATTTATGATAAAAATTTTTCTTTGGATAGAAAAATTCGTTTTTTTTTTTTGCAAATTTTTCTACAACTTCAATATTAATATTTCAAAAAACACTTTTTCAAAATCATACTTTTACTTAAAAAATTGATGAAAGTAATAATAACTGAATTATTTATGAAATAATCATATTATTTTACTTGAAAAATTAATTGTGAGCGTTTGAAACAAATTATAAATTGAAAAGTCTAAAACTCTCTTTATTCTTAACCAATACGATTGTGTTCAATTCTTACTAGTCTTATATAATCTATAAGAAATTTTACTTCAGTTAAAAACAATAAGATTTATTTTTAAGTTATTTAAAAAGAATATTGTAAATTTGACTTTTGAATTGGACTAGTTTGTAAGATGAAGTAGGATTTGGATATTGGTGGTGCAGATATTGACTCGATTTTATTAACTTTTTTTTTTCCAACTTGTGTCCTTCTGTGCAGATGGTACGCTAATAAAATGCGAGAAAACGTACGAGATGTGCGAGGGTTGCGGCCAGAAGATCCACGATCGGTACCTGATGAGAGTGGCGGACGCGAGCTGGCACGAACACTGTCTCTCCTGCTGCATCTGCGGAGTCCTGCTGAACCATTCCTGCTACACCCGAAACACTAAACTCTATTGCAAAGCCGACTACGACAGGTTAGTACTATTAACACCATCAGCAATTTTAATTAAATCTTCGTTTATTATCATCATCATGAACCTCTTTTTTGTTGTTGTTGATATTCGTTTCATTCGTTTTCTGCCTGAAGAGAGTTTCCATGACGATCGGAGAGATGAGAGTCCTTTTATGATACATAAATCTCGGAGGCGACGAAGCGGATCCAATAAAAACCTCCGCCAACGCACGCTCTGCTTCCTTTGAACTCTCTCCGTCTCTCAATATCTCACTCCACTCTCTCTCTCTCTCCGTTTCATAACTTACATCTTATATAAGAATTAATCAACTCGTCTATGAAAAGCGACTCGGAACAATATACCAATAACAACAGAAAACGACCACTTTTCAACAACAAAATTGATAATTAAGAATGTTGTGTTTTCAGGATATTCGGAGTGAAATGCACGCGATGCGGAGATCGTCTTCTGCCGCACGAGATGGTGATGAGGGCGCAGCAGCACGTCTACCATCTGCCGTGTTTCGTGTGCGTGATCTGTCGACAGCCGCTGCAGAAGGGCGAGCAGTTCGTGTTGAGAGCGGGACAGCTCTTCTGCAGACAGGATTTCGAGAAGGAGATGTATCTGATGCAGCAGGCCGGATCCGGAGACGACGATCTCTTAGACGAGAACACGAGACCAAGAGACGGAAGACGCGGCCCGAAGAGGCCGAGAACGATACTGACTTCGGCGCAGCGGAGACAGTTCAAAGCCTCCTTCGAGGTGAGCCCGAAACCGTGTCGGAAGGTCAGAGAAGCCTTGGCGAAGGAGACCGGTCTCAGCGTGAGGGTGGTGCAGGTGTGGTTCCAAAACCAGAGAGCGAAGATGAAGAAGATCCAGAGGAAGGCGAAGCAAGACGACGGTAAATCAGGAGACAAGGATAAAGGCGATAAAGACGATAAGATCATCAAGCAGGAGTCACCGAGCAGCGAGCACGGACACTACATGAGTCTCAGCAGTTTAGCCGACGGTCATTTCCCAACGTCGACGCAACCTTTGAACCCCAACATGCCCTACTCACCAGACGGTAAGTCATAATCTCTACTAACATCAATACAACAACAACAACAACACTAACCTTTTGCATCTTCATCGTTTTTGCAGACGCTTATCCTGCGCATTCCGGTGAAAGCTTCTGCAGCTCGGACATCTCCCTCGACGACAGCACGAATTTCGACCATCTCGACGAGGCCACCTCCGACACGATGTCTCTGCAAAACCTGGAGATGCAAGGTGGGCATTCGCATCCGCACGAGACGATGGCCGGTGGAATCGCCAATCCCATAGACAAACTCTACCTCATGCAGAACTCGTACTTCAGCACCGAATAATAATCGCTGCTTCTTCAACAAAATCCCAAAGCAACAATTCTAGTCGAAACTGCGAATCAAAAAAAAACACTTGTTACCGGTGCATTTCTCTTGTGTGTGTATAAATACTGAATACCTGAATGTGTTATTAACTTATTATTATTACATTAACTATTATGTACATACTGAATATATTATATATAGAGATTTATATAAATAACAACAACAACAAAATATAACAACTGTCTATGTAAATAACACATATAAATTATATATATATTATTGTATAAAAAAAGATGATGATGATGATGGATTTAGATTATATATTTCCCCAGTCGAATTATTAATTGTGATCACTATAATTGTATTATTATGTCAAGATGAAAAGAAGAAGTTGTGAAAAGAAGGACGAAATATTATTATTATAATATTAGTATTTACTATAAAGAATTTCTTAGATTTTATTATTGTATATTTTAAATAAATAACCAAATCCACTTTGGACTTGTCTCTACTTAAATAATCGGTGGCAACCGAAATCCCGACGTTCAAAATCCCGACTATATCGAAATTCCGACAGTGTCTTTTATTATTATAAATTTCTACAATAACATTTTTATGGTAGCCGGAATTTCAATTTAGTCGGGATTTTGATTGTCGGGATTTCAATAGACATAAAATTGATAAAAGCAATAGAAACCTATAACATTAATAAATAAGATCCAAAGAACGTTAATACGGGTTTTGCGTAATTAGAAATTTAGACCTTTTTATGTTATACAATGAATTAATTGAAAATATTTCAAATCAAAATTAAAATTCCATGTTTTAAAAATCATAGCAGCAGATGGCGTTAAACGTGATTAATTATTTACTAATAACTACTCCAATTATAATCGAATCAATCAATTGCTTATATAATTAATCTAAGCTATCTAAAAGCAACATTTTAATGAATATTGCTAATTATTTAAGTCCTTAATGAACAAGTGAGGTTTTGTACAGCGCCAAAAGTGCTGAACTACAAACTTTGAGAGCGAATTAAAAGATGGCACTGAACCGAATCGATTTTCGAAACTACATCAGAGACGCCTACAGAAAAAAATGAAAAGCTTATAGTTCAGCCAATTTGGCGCTGCTCAAATCATGTTTTTACAATTAACGCAGTAATTAATAACTAGTAATTACTAAACTATTATGATCATAATAAGCTATTGATTACTCTACTTTTTGAACTATTTCATTAATTATTTTAGGTGTTTTACGCGATTTAAAATTAGGGAACAGCACCACCTATAATTAGAATAGTTGAACTAATCCAATTTTAAATTGTCAATGTCCATTTATATTTATCTTTATATTTAATTTGATAAATGTTAAATTCTTTATATTGTCGTGTAATTATATTTGTAACATTTATTCTTGTACTCTTAATTATTTGAAAATTTTGGGGCAAGGTAAAGGAAACAAGCAGGAAACTTACAAATGTATCTTAAATTTAGTACATTAAAGAAATAATATATATAACGAAAGATTTCTTAATTGTCTCCATTTTTTGTCCTTATATGATTTGTGTTTAAATATAATAAATCTTATCTTGTTGGAACAGTGGTCTCCTTTCTTGCCGCATCTTGCAGCAATTGAGTGTCCACTTCATCAGCTGGCAACTGGACGTATCTCACAACCGAACCTCTTATAAAGCAGCTCTTAACAGATAACTGAAAATAATTGAGAATAAGTTTACTGAATTCAAAGAAATCTAAGAACATAATTAGAAAATTATATACATACCATGTGTGGATATTTCTCTGTATCCGTAACACTGATGTCCGTCAGCTTTATATTCAAGTATTGATCAACTGAATGCAGTGTTCCACATATGCTAAAACAATAAATCATAGTTAACAAAAAGTTTTCTTAATACTAAGATCGATTTACTGGCAAACCTTAAATCATTTTTCAGCTCGACCACCACATCTTTTCCGACCAAAGACTTGAAGAACGAGTAAAACAACTGTAAAATAGAGATGATATATTATTAAATTCATTGAAAAAAACCGCTGCGAACTTACCATTTTCAATGTTTATAATAACAAAAAAAAAAGTTAGGTTACAACTGCTTAAAAACTGATCAACCAATGCTACCAACCAAAATAATTCAAAGAGCTTTTTGGTACCCTTCATAGATGGATGTGTTAATCATTTTACAATGATTACTTTTAAAAAATCTATGATTGTTTTTTCTATAATTTATTTAACATACATATTAACTGGGAGAATGTTGCAATTTTGCACTTCTTTCTTCCAAGATCTTGTAGTATGGCTTCAGCAAGATGTTGACGTCGCTTTGGATGCCATGGCTACGTTCCCAATCGGGATCATTATCACAGATTTCTTCAAACGCACAACGAATCTTGTCCAGAAAACTCTGAACATGTTTCGTCTCCAACATCCTCGTTGGCTTCAACTCCTCAACTTCCTCTGCAGTCTTCTGTTGCTCTAATTTCTGCTCAGCCAATTCCAACAAATCTTTATCTGGAGGTGGCTCAAAATGACTCTTCAGTAACAGCTCAACATCATCTGGTTGAACGTCAATCCCAATCAATTTAGATATGCCACAAATATCATCAATTATATCAGAGATGGACTCAGAACCAGTAAAATTAATAACCGCTTCAGGCCACAGTTTACTCCAAGCACTGTTCATGCAAGATCGAGACACTTCTTCCCAAGCGGAATCGATGTTCGTTATTCCTTTGAAAATATCGTAAGATTTCCAATGGTCGCTGATTTTTGCGTCGGATTGGACAGCGTCGGCGATTCCTCTGAAGATCGCGCGTAAATAACACGCGTTAAAAGTTGCAATTACGCCTTGATCCAAGGGTTTCAAAAGAGTGGAAGCGTGCGGTGGTAAACACACAATCTCAACTTCCAATTGATCATTATCCGTTTCCTGTAGGTTTCCTGGGGCATTGTCTAATACCAGCATGACTTTAGGAGGTAAACCGTTAACAGCACAGAACTGAGCCACTTCTGGACAAAAGTATGTGGTGTACCAATCGCTGAAGATCAGCTTCTCGCTGCAGCGGCAAAGAACAGGAATTTCAGAATCCTTCATAATCACTTCTGAATGATACACCAACATTGGTTTGAGTTTAAAAGTGCCAGAAGCATTACCACCTAAGAACAATGTCAAATGATCCGTCCTCTCAACCTCCTCCTCGCATGCAATGTACATCCCATTTGGTAACTTCTTCCAATACAGCCCCACTTCACCCACACTGAAAACCAAGTCAGATTGATAAGTACCCTCATCTATTAATCGCTTAAACTCAAACGGATAGATTTCAGCAACATTAATGTTGGTAGCCTCACCAGACACTTTAGTAATCTGAATTTTGGTACGGTTCTTGAACCGATGGAACCATCCTTTACTTGCATTGAAGGTTTCAGTGCTACCTGACTGCATGCATATCTCATCAAATAACGTCTTGGCCTTCTCCAGCACCACGGCCTGCGTTACAAGAACGTTATTTCGGTTGGAATCTTCCACCCAAAGGACAAGTAACTTTTCCATTTCCTCCATAGCTTCGCTGCGTGAATAAGTTGTTCTCGATGATGACAACCTCGTTGCACCCGTGTACGTACGTTTTATTTTATCCACATTGCCCATGATCGTCGATACAGTGGATGGGGCTAAATGCAGAGCTTTGCACACGGCGGATCGTCGTTCTCCAGACTCCATACGACGAATCACATCCATTTTCTTCTCGATTGTGATCGTCTTTCGTTCCTTCTTCGCCTTCCCTGGCACAGACATCACACAACGTTCAGAGCTCATCAGCACATTATTACTAAGATTTAACTGCTGCACTGATCGTAAATAACCCTAATACATCGCTGCAATAAAATCGATTTTATTATTCAACACCAATTAGCTTAAGATTATTCATGTTCTCATCAAATCGTTCCATTTATCAGCAATTTCAAGAAATCGGACAGTCGTAAAATGAACTGTCGCAAAACGGGACTCACCTGTACATTTCAAAGACCCCATCCAGAAGCACCAACATTACAAATAAACAAACTTTGAAGACCAACTTTACCTAAAGATTACAGTTTCCAAAAGGAATTACGGCTAGAAAACAATACCATAAATTAATGATAAGTTAATCTATCAATTAAACATAGTTTGATCTTTAATTATAGTATAATTAAACGATTCTCACCATTTCAAAAAGTCTTTGAGTGAAAAAGAACGCGCTCACTTTTTTTCTCAAGTTACAGCCTTACCAACATCCAAACAAAATGGTAATCATAATATTATTAATTTTTATTTATTGAATAATTCATTAATATTTAGGTTTTATTTGTAGCAATTACATTTACATCGATAAATGTAATCTAGTTTTTCTTAATTTACAAAATTCCTGTTTCGCAGATCGTCGTTACCGGTTGAACTTAACCTCCAATTATTCAAATTGTCCTTTAAGTAATGTTTATTTATACGATTCGCAGGATTCTAGGGTGGTTGTAAAGATTTCACAGCGGAGCGATGTTATAACCCCGCACCGTCTCACAGTTGCCATATTGATAAGGGAATTCTGCTTAATCCGAGAAACAAGTACGTTTGCAATGGAAACACTTGAGCTGTGATCTTAATTTAGCTTGAATTTTAGAAGAAGTATGTCGGAAGACGATCAGGGACTTTTGCATCCTCTCGCTGCAGCTCATCCAGAGCCCCGATTTAACCCTGGACGAGCTGAGGAGTTCCATCAATGAGATGGTCTTCAATCCTGATACGGATCTACTGAAAAAGAAATTCGATGCTGTTATTAGCGACATACAGGAGGTTGGTGTCAGATATCTGCTGGATATAATTGAATCTTTTGGCACTCTCATCGCTGTGCATCCTGGTTTAGGGAAATTCGTTTCTGTGAACAAGAACAGCGTTATTGGTTGGTCATTTTCATTTCGTTTTTTCTATAATAATATTCAAATTAATCAATCAAGTTCACTTTCAGGTTATTATTTGAGGAGATTCACTGTGTCCTTCGATAGATTGTCGTTTTCTGAGGTTACCACTTTCTGTGAATCCTATAAGAGGTACGCAAGTGGATGGAACAAGACTCAGAGCATTGCCACGAGTGAAACAGGGAACACCCTGTCAAGCAAAACAAAAGAACCACAGCTTAATGAAAGGTAAAAGGATACTTACAAATGTTGATGCTTTTTGTAATCGTAGAAATTTCTAATTTAAAGTGATGGAAATTCGTCGAGAGAATGGTCTAGGAGACAGGCGGAATTGTTCATCGCTACACAAAGTAGTTTAATTCTGAACAATGAAGAAAGAGCGATGAGTCCGAAGGAGCTGCACGAAAACATCAAAAGTCTCCTCAAATCCAACAGATCACTCGCGGAAGCGGTAAATTCTGATCGACTAATTTCTATGAGTTTAAAACACTTACTTGAGTTTTCAGCACTTCTTGAATTACCTGAACTATATGAGAGTCAAAGAGTATTGCGGCGCGATCGAGAGTCTCTACCATTGCTTCGATAGATGCGCCGATGTTAATCCCATGTGCAGCTCTGAAGATAAAACGAAAAGTTACAGATACGCCACATTGAATCTCGCTATTTTGCAGTACAAATTTGGGCATAGGTGAGTTGCTTACTAGTTTTTCACTGCGATTTCTTATTGAAGGATTTCTTAGGGAGGAAGCTTTGTCCGCTCTGGAGGAAGCAATTAAGATAGCTCAAGCTGCTGGAGATAATGTCTGCTTGCAGCACGCTCTCTCATGGCTCTACTGCTTGATACAAACCAACAGACACAAATTAATGGAGCACTCGATTCTGAAGAGTTTGGATCTGAATTTGTCGTATATTATGTCGTTGGGAATCCAATCTTTCATCCAGTACGCCGGATTCACGAAAGGAAATCCTAAACAGGCATTAGATGTAAAGTACACTTTAAATCTTTAAATTTTGATAATTAGATTTGATTACTAACTCACCGTTTTGCAGACTATAACCAAGAGCGATATAGTGAATTGCCAGCAGAGCTACAGGGATCTGATTTCGAGCAGTTACGCGCAGAAATCGGCGATCTGGTTGTTCTATGGAAAAACGGAGATGTCTTCGCTATGGAGCCAACTGCTGCTGTACCTGAACACGGATAATCCGACCATCCTCAAGACGCATTACGGTGAAGGCTATTGTCAAGCTATCTGTAGCATGGCGTGTCATCTTCATCTGGAAGGAGAATACACCATAGCAAAGACCGTGATCGGCTTCGCCAAAGAGCGATTCCCCAACGAACCTAACTCGCACACGTGGATGCTCTGCGATAATCTGATGTACTTCCAGCAGTTGATCTACAACGAGAAGTTGTCAGAGGCTGAGAACGTGGCTGCAAGGATCGGAGTGGTCAACAAGTGGGAGAGTTGTCTTCGCATGGCCGAAATCCTCATCCATCGGCGTGATTACAAAGAGGCGCACAAATGCGTCAACCGAATCCTGGAGAAGTTCAAAGATGGAACGCAGCAATTTCGCATGGATTTCCAAGTGAGAGCTATGATCCTCTTATCCGAAATCCAAATTGGTACTCAGTATCCGGATGCTGCGATGCCCGGTATCCTCGGATTACTCAACTCCACTTTAGCTTACGCCAACGATTACCACCTCAAGTACTTGGCTTCCGTAGCGCAACTTTACATAGCTCACGTCCAACTCCTGATGGGAATGTCTACTCAAGCTTTAAGCATTTTGGATAGATGTTTAGTGCAGATCTTGGCGCACGGTGGATGCTACGATAGAGCCAGAGCTATGCTCCTCTACGTTAAGTGTCTGATAGCCGAAGCTGGTAATAAAGAGGCGGATGAACGGAAAGCTGATATTCTGCAAGGTATAGATTTACTGAAGAACGTCAAGAGGAATTTCGAGAAAGTTGAAGCTTTCTACAGGGTCAAAGACGTCCTTTATCTGCAGGTAACTATTAAGAAATATTTAACTATTTGCGTGAATAATACATTTCTCCAAAGTCTCAGTTATACAACGAGATCGATATGACGAAGGAGCGAAATCAATGCGCGCTCGAGTTTAATTCAATGAGCGACAGTTTTCCGAACATCAACAATAGCACTTTACTAATTTCTCTATAAGTTTGTACATACACAATTAATTACATAATAAATTATACATTTTCATATACATTTAATACGCATCCACTCTAGCTGTGATGTGAGTACACTGCTTTTCGTTATTTCATTTTCAAACTGATAGTATTACATCAATAAACGAATCACTAGATTATCTAAATTATCATTCTTGAATGAGATTCATTACGCAATCATTTTCTAAATAATTAGACTATAATATACGATCGTGTATGTTTGGTTGCAGATACTAGTGATTAAGCGCTCAATTTCAGCCAAACTGTTGAAACTATAGCAACAATTGAATACTCACTACATTCCGCAAATATCCTAATTTCATGTGCATCTTTTGGATACATTCTATCTTCTTAAATTCCAGAGAAAAGAAAATGTGAAAACGCTGCTTTTTCATGTGTTAATATTTCATTAATTCATTTGGATTTTTTTTTACATTCGTTCTATTTATTACAGTTTATTATTTAATTATTAATTGGGTGAAGTAAGAGGAAACAGATCGAAACATGAAAATTGTCAGCTACACAAAAATGAATGCAACAACAACAACAATAGTAAACACACAAAATTAAAAAAAGGCAGAGTAATTGCAATTAAACTGTGGGGATCGAGGTGTAAATATTGCGTGGAATAAAATTTAGTTCTTTTCACTCGCGATGCTCGATCAAAAAAGAAAAACACATCGGAGAAGGGATCATATCGTTGAATATAATTTCCGATTTAATTAGTCGAAAAGAGTTTCACATTTGCACAATTAAAAGGAATTGCGGTAAAGAAAATGCAATTTTTTTGTTGTTGTTGCTACTGCTACTTGTGTTATCTTGCGTACCGGCGCTATTAATTGCTTCCACTTACTTTCCATAACGTAATTGTAATTGAATAAACTGTTGTTGTGGTTGTGGATATGAATTGTAGGGTTGGCGAATTGCGAAGGTCGAGGGTTAACGGTGGTTTCAAGGGTAATTGCGATCGGTCACGCTGTTTTCTTCAATTTCCATTTCCAACATAATTACAGTCAATTCAAGTTGGAATATTGAAAAATAATAACGTCAGGTTTCATTCGAGCTACATTAATTATTGATTGCATGATTTAAGCATGATTTTAATTTATAGTCTTGTTGCTATGGTAATTAAGAAAAAAACAAATGAATGATACTGAAAGCAAGTCAATTTTCAATTAATCAACTGAATAATTCAATAAATTTTACGAATGTTCAACGACGCATGGAAATCGTCTGAAATGAAAACTAGTAGGCAGATGTAACCATGCGATTCAATTGGTGAAATGGAAGAAAACAAAACAACGCAACGAAATAAAAGAAACAACGATGAAACGAAACAAAACAACAACAACAAAAAAACAGTAAAAGAAGAAGTACTTTCATTTGCATTGTTCCAAAGCCTAGCCGATCCAAAACGGTAATCAAACACAATGGGGAACCACTGTTAATTAATGACTTTTCATGTAGTAGTTGCTTCCATTTCGTTGGATCGTTCAGTAAAAGAAAATCGTGAATGCACTTAAAAATAAAAACAGTAAATTTCTTCATTCACTTAAGAACATACAAATATACTCAACATTCAAAACGAAAGAGAATTCAGATTTTTTGTAACTCATTCACATTTTCATTAGTTTAATTTCGTTAATAATTGGAGATTTCATATAGTTAAATTTGTTGCCTAATAGAGTTTGATTTTACTCTAGAAATAGACTAGTTACGTGCATTTTTTTTTGTATTGTAGCAGCAAGCAACAATGTAATTTCGCAAATTCCTATGGCGTTTCAAATGGTTAATATAAATAACATGCGAAGGTCGCAACAACGAAAACAAACAATTTACTAAATCTAGTGAATCTCGCTCGCAGTTTCATGAAGCAATTGACGATAAATTAGTTTTAATTTCCGAGAGACTTTTAATAATACTCGAACTAATTATTTAATGTTTGTTTTTATAATATACAATTCAATTTAAGTGAAAATATTCGTTGTTTTTTATGATTTTACATAATCGATTGGAACTTGAAACAAATGAATGATTGATATCAATTAATTGTTTTATAGCAATGCAATTGTTTTATAGCAATGCAATTGTTTTGTAGTTTTCAATTGTTTGCTTGGGTAACGCGATTAATCATCGTTATCTATGAGGAAGATACGCATGTAGATAGTTTATTTCAACTGATTTTTCCTCAATGATTGATGTTTGCGCCCGGTGTAATTGAAATCAACGATGCTCGAACGGTGTGTGTGTGTGTGTGTACGAGTATGTTTCACTGCGCAAGATAAGCAAAATCAACAATCAAAACATCGAATGGTTTATTTTGTGCGGAAAGCCTTCAGTGTGCAACCGTCTATAACGTGTGCACTTGTGTCTTTTAAACTATTATTATTGTTGTTGTTTTATATTTATATTTAATTATTTTTACCGCAGAAGACGCATCATGCCATTAACCACTCAGTAAGTACACTCAACAATCAATGATTTATAACTCGCAACCACAACTTATCATCAGTTGTAGTGAGTGTAAACTGGATTACCAGCTTAAATCCGATACTCAATGAGTAAACTTGCATTACTCAAATCGCGTTAATAGAGACGGTTATCAGAAAACAATGCAAGATTCTATACATCGATGAATCTTAGAAAAAAATAGAAAAGAAAAGCGAAAGTAATTACTTAAGTTTCATGCTTATAAACGAGTGCATTATGGATAGAGAACAAAATATGAAAGTAATTTGCAACGATTTCAATTTAATTTGCAGCAAACAACATATAGTTTTTAATTAATCCTAGTTCAGATCTATGTATACTGATTTAGTTTACTACAATTCTAAAATCACTCATGGACTTCATAGATTTTGTATTAAAAAAAAAATTATATATTAAATAAGTCTATTATACATAAATTAGCAGAAATGCATATTTTTTTTTATATAAATAATTAAAGCTGTGATAAGATTTAACAAAACGAAAGGTGTTAATTAAAGTAATTATAGATGTTAAAGTTGTAAAGTTCATTAATTAATTCCATGTAAATAATTAAGTCTACAGCATTGTTTAATTAAGCATTAATAAAGATTGCGTTTATTATAATATTTATATAAAATTGTAGTTGAGGAAATGCGACGTGGAAGAGGAAGCAGATTACGTTAGATACGAGCAAAGAATTTCAACAGTTCAAAACATGTTAAGAATCTGCATAAATAGAAGTTTTTTTTTTTGAAAGGATGTTAACTATTGAATTATAAGAGTGCGCGTGGTGTAACAGGTCGAAAATTAGGGCCAAACGACTGTAATTTGCGTGCCGTAAATTGCATTCATCCTCCTCCCGATTTTGTCCTCGCACATAAAAAGACACTCGTTTATTTTTTTATATATTGTTTAATTGTTAGTTTATGCTTCGTCTTGAATCGATTAAATTAAGAGATGTTAACGCATTCCCACGATTGCAAAGAAATATGAGTAAAAATAGGCGGAATGAATGGTAATAACAACGTTGTAATTGCGATCCGTTCGACTTCATTTAACAAACGAACCTCGAAATGGCGATTTTCAGGCACGATCTCCGAATCGCGAAGACGTGACACACTTCTCAAACAGTTTCATGTCTTCAATGGCTTCTTTCTTGTCTACATAACATTATTACTTTTTTTTCTTAATCAACGTAAATAAATCTATGTAATAATAGCAATTTGTTTGCAAGTTATAATTTAACAATTATTTAAAAGCGTATAATTTAATTAGTTTACAGAGATTATTATGTAAGATTTTACAATTATAGAGAACAGTTCAGAGTCATAGTTGATTACTACTGACTTGCACTTATCTAACGGGAAATCCTGTTATTTTATGTTTGTTTAGGATATATCTATAAATCATATTCGTTGATTATAGTTATAAAATGAGTAGGCGAAAGTTATATAAATATATAAATTGCATAAGGCCTAGTACATTACCTTGCGGAACTTCATTTGTAACTTGTACTAACTATATTGAAGATTCCTCAAGCAAAATATGAATGAAACTAAACTTTGGTTCGAGTTAAGTTTAGAGTAGTAAACGCAGAGTGGATCATCATCATCATGATCATCAGCAAGTGCAAGGCTGTGATCATACAGATTGGACTTTTCGAAGTCAGAGTTGTCGTTGTTCGCAAATGTAATTTATCGATCGTTCGCCTCCAACAAAACACCCCCATCGAACGTTTGGCGGGCAAAAATGAAGAGGCGGTGGCGCATGTCCTTCGCACCCGGCTTTCTTGCGGGCCACGAGGGTGGATGCACGAGAATACGCGTTCAGTCACACACAGAAATTCTCCGCAGGATCTGCAGAAGTGCACGAAGTGCAGCTGCAGATCAATATGACCTCAAAATCTCCCAGGTGAGTTCCAAAAAAAAAATCTCAACTATCAAAATTCGTAGTAATCATTCATCCAAGTCCACGTGTTTATACTAATAGTGTTTTGTTAATGTGTTAATTATAGTCATAGCAACAATTCATCAAAGAACTTGTATCAGTTGTTGTTAAAGTGTTAATTGTAGTCGTAACAACAATACATCAAATTCATTTTCTAAACAAAATCCAACTATTTTTAATAAAGTATTGCATTGAATTCTGCAATTGCTTGGAATACTAACAAAATGTATAATAAGATCTAATGATTCATCAATTACTGACTAATTAAGAGCATCAATTGTGATAGATATAAAAAAAAATCTTAAGTACACTTGAGTTCTCTCCTGATAAACACGGATAATCGTTTGTACTATGCGCAACGTTTTCATCCATAAGGTTTAGATGATTACGCAAAACAACGATATCGATTGCAGGCGTCACAACATTAAGGTTTTACGTACTAAAAATAGATGCTCGACTTGTTGGTGGGTAATTTGCAATTTTTATTTCATATATTTTATCGAAGAGTCGCGGGAAACGCTTTTGTTTTGCATCAGCCTTGACCAGAGAATTTACATTTTTTTTTTCCAAACAATCGCGTTATTACCATTATTGTTGCTATTATCAGAAAGAAAAAATGCAACTGGAATTGCCGTGAATAGGAAATCAACATATTTTTCTGCTGAGAAAACATGCACGGCTTGTTGAGTTTTATGCTGTAAATCTTTTGTGGAAAAAGGGAATTGGGACAAGGCAATAATAATAATAATATGAGTTCGCCCTTTAAATCTCGGATACAGCGGGACATTACAGTTGGAATTTATGGTAGGGAAAGAGAAATAAACATTCGTTTCCTTCGTCAGATACAGACGTCACAACTCATCCCTACGAATAGAATTCCCGATAGAACAAATAATGGAAAACTTTCCTAAAGATAAAACGCGCTTCGCTTCGCAACTGTTGAAGTAAAATGGAATGGAAAGAAGTTTTTCAAAAGAATAGTTTAACCGCAAAACGATTCAGTTTTGTATACTTGCTACAAGTTACATTATTACTTTAGTTTTTATCTTGACAAAGTCTTATTTTCGTCAGCATTAAATTAAAGTTAAAAGTTAAGTTTAAAAGGTGAAATTACTACTGTTGCTAAGCAATATTATAAACAAATTATATAATAAAATTGATGTAAAAGCTATTAGTTGCTAAGCAACATTAAAAACAATCAATCTTAAGTAATATCAAAAAATTTGATATTATTAAGTAATAGTAATCTTATAATTTAGTTTTTGAATTAAGTTGCTAAGTAAAAGCGATGAGAATAAAATTATTTATTTTGCATACTGAAACTGCGATTTGAGAATGCAATTTGCGTTTATGTTTTGTTGCCGCACGTTTACAATAATTGATTTATTTTTGCCGCGGACCGGAAGCCGGCCGCAACCACGTGGAAAATCGCTTCCGGTCTTGTCGCCGTAGTTACGTAAACACGCTGAGCGCGTTTTTATTTTATTTTTTTTTTGAATCGATCGGCGTGAATTGTCTTTGAAACGATGTGTAGAGAGAAAGAGAAAAGGGTCGGAGAAACCCTATACAAGGAAATCGAGAGCGCCGGAAACGGAAGCTGCTGAATTATTCAAAAATCTAATTTTCCCGCCATCTCCGGGCTTTGCGTATTCTGAATATTTCAGCGTCCCTGGCGGTTGTAAATTTAAACTGTCCCTTAAACCCTTCCCACTTTGTGGATCGATAAAAGTTATATGTGTAAATACGTAGTGAAGTGTTATTAAATAGTAGTATTTATTGAAACTCACCTATTCAAATAGTATCCGCAAGTGGCTTTGCTTAACTTTCATAAACACATCAAGTCTTATTGGCCCGGCATTCTGAAACAATTGAATAATTACAATCATCACTTGATTTTCATTATGCAACGACTTAAATAATGTCTTTTTAATGACGCAATCAAAGTCGTTACCTCAGAAACAAATGACTATCTCGAATCATGACTTGCCAAGTTTTTAATTACCAAAAACATCTGTAATTTTGATTATTCCTTTGATTAATTAAAAACGTCCTTGGCTTTTTTTTTTTGGGTGAAACTACTGAAATATAAAATAAAACATTGATTTTACATTCTCGTAAATGTTTATGCTTCATTAGTTGGAGAGTTGGAAACGTTTGATCGTCGGTTTTTAATTGCGCAATGAAAATTACCTTTGATTGGGGATGACGTGATGTGTTGAAAAACACGCGAAACGATTATTTTCTAAAAATAGTTGGTGCATTCTCGTGAATAACGTTAAAGTAAAACAAAAAAAATAAATAAATAATGATTTCAATTAATTTATGAAACGCGTTTCTTCACGTGTGGCTGCTTTCATCTGCAATGCGGATTACGACTGAAAATCGATTCGTTATGATAATTTCATAAAATAGCAAAAAACATCGGAGAAGTACAAGCAATCATTGATCAAATAATGAAGACAGGGAAAACAATAATAATAATAATAATAAAAGAAATAGAAGAGGCGAAACTGGAACGAAGTGCTTTGACCCATACCGATTCGATTTGGGAACTTGTGCCAAACTGCTCTATATATTCTCATGCATTCAGTGTAGGAAAAAAGTAGTTTTTATTCTTGCACTTCGACAACTTTGAAACTACTTTAATATCTATTTGTATATGAATATTGAAATTTTCGATTTAGAATTTCGGTGATGGAAAAATCGTGATTGAAATTTTGTTCGAAAATGAAATACGAAATAGCTTGAACTCTCTAGTATGTTATTTCTATATAAATATAGGAGTAAATCAATGTATGGGAAGATTGTGATTGATTGATGTTACAAAGTAAAAAATAATAAAATAAAAGTGAATGCGATTGGAATGTTCGATTTGATATGTGAGTCGAGGCAATAAATGCGAGAGAAGAAATCAAAACTAGGAAGAGAAGAATTTCGGTTCGGTTTTTCCATGGGTATTAGATGCCCCGTATCGTTTCACTTGGCTGCCAAAACGGAACGAACGAATGGTTGGTTGGATGGATGGATGGAAAGGCAGAGTGGCACAGTCTGAGCCGGTTTATTGTTGTTCGAACGCTCAACAACATCAACAACAACAACAACTTGCTGCTGCAAGAACCGCGCGCGATTCCTGTTAATGATCAATTGATCCATCATGACTCTGGAGATGTGTCGATTCTCATCCTCGGATTGTTCTCTTCTGTGCAGGAGGAGACCCCTGTATCCTGGATCGCTTACAGATCTTCACAGATTCAGGAAAACAGCGCACGGACACGATGGATCCAGCAGGATCGTTATGGTCAGGAAGACGGATCAGAGGACATTCGCATCCATACAGAACGGAAAAGTGAGTATCAAACAATTACTTTCAAATTCATATAAACTAATTAAGTAACAAAAGCTACATCAATAATTACAATCATCACTTGATTTTATTATGCAATGACTTAAATAATGTCTTTTTAATGACACAATCAAAGTCGTACCTCAGAAACAAATGACTATCTCGAATCATGACTTGCCAAGTTTTTCCACTTTTAATTACAAAAAACATCTATATACTTTCAAATTCATATAAACTAATTAAAGCTGCATGAAAACATATAAATTGTAACAAATAAAGATAACTACTTTTCAAAGTGCATTTCTCATTAAGAATTCGTTGCAGAATTTAATTAGGAGGCTGATCATATATTGTCATTGCGATTGTTTCGGTATTATTTGTTGTTGTTATTCGGCATTGGCCGTGTTCGCTCTGGTTTTGGCAATGCCACTTATTACGTATTAAATACTAGTATTTATTCGTGCTTTGAAACTCACCTATTCAACTAGTATCCGCAAGTGGCTTTGCTTAACTTTCATAAACACATCAAGTCTTATAGGCCCGGCATTCTGAAACAATTGAATAATTACAATCATCACTTGATTTTTATTATGCAATGACTTAAATAATGTCTTTTTAATGACACAATCAAAGTCGTTACCTCAGAAACAAATGACTATCTCGAATCATGACTTGCCAAGTTTTTCCACTTTTAATTACAAAAAACATCTGTATACTTTCAAATTCATATAAACTAATTAAAGCTGCATGAATACATATGAATTGTAACAAATAAAGATAACTACTTGAATGAGTATTTTCAAAGTGCATTTCTCATTAAGAATTCGATGCAGAATTTAATTAGGAGGCTGATCAGATATTGTCATTGCGATTGTTTCGATGTTATTTGTTGTTGTTATTTGTTACATATTAAATACTAGTATTTATTCGTGCTTTCAAACTCACCTATTCAAATAGTAACCTCAAGTGGCTTTGCTTAACTTTCATAAACACATCAAGTCTTATATTCTGAAACAATTGAATAATTACAATCAACACTTGATTTTTATTATGCAATGACTTAAATAATGTCTTTTTAATGACACAATCAAAGTCGTCACCTCAGAAACAAATGACTATCTCGAATCATGACTTGCCAAGTTTTTCCACTTTTAATTACAAAAAACATCTATATACTTTCAAATTCATATAAACTAATTAAAGCTGCATGAAAACATATAAATTGTAACAAATAAAGATAACTACTTTTCAAAGTGCATTTCTCATTAAGAATTCGATGCAGAATTTAATTAGGAGGCAGATCAGATATTGTCATTGCGATTGTTTCGGTGTTATTTGTTGTTGTTGTTATTCGGCATTGGCTGTGTTTTCTCTTTCATGTCGCTCTGGTTTTGGCAATGCCACTTATGGATTTGCACTTGATGCGAATCGCATGCAAATTAAACCGATTTTTCCAATTGCGAAACAATACTTTCTCGTCAACACCAAATTTTCTTTCCCATTACCCTAATTACTATATAGTTAAAAATAACAAAATATTTCACTTACGTGTATTCTTTCAGTTTTCTTAGAAATTAACTCTTTCCATCTAGTAATCTTCATATTAATTAATGAAATGTTGAACTTTATAATCTAAAACTTAACAATTTTATTATGATTGTAGTACTTATAATTTTTAAATACTTACCGTTCTTGATTTATTATTTTTCACTTCATGATTTGTAATGCGTTTTGATGTATTTTTTTCAGGAACCGAAATTGGAAACGATCACAAGAGAAACAATCGAAACGTTTCGAGGTCCGAGGACCGCATGCAAAATTACCACTGAGAAGAAGGGCTGTGAATTTAACGTGCCTGCTAACGTATTAGAAACATTAACTAGGAAATCTCCAGTGGCGAAGGCTGCAACTCTAAAAGTAAAAGCATATTATTTTTATTGTAAAATTATTAATTTATGAATTGCAGAAAAGTCCAACGGTTAGCTTTAATTCAGAATGCTTGAGGGCGCACAACGAGTACAGACAAAGACACGGAGTGACGCCTCTGAAGCTGAGCAAGGAGATGTGCAGGATAAGCCAGGACTTTGCTAACTACTTGATCAGGAAAACCAGTTTGGAGCATAGTAATAATCAGAGGTACGGGGAAAATATTTACTGTTTGACGATGTCCAAGGAGGCTCCTATTAAGGGAGGCGAACCGGTGAAGCATTGGTACAGCGAGATCAGCAAGCACGATTTCAAGAAAGAGCCGACGTCTCTGGAATCCGGTCATTTCACGCAGGTCGTCTGGAGCGAGACTAAAGAACTGGGCGTCGGACATGCCAGCTATAAAGGAAAGATTATAGTCGTAGCTAATTATTATCCGCCTGGAAACGTGATCGGGCATTACCTGGAGAACGTTCCTTCCTTACTCGACGTTGAAGTTATATCCGAAGCTGTCTCTTCCATCGGTTTAAGTGGTAAAAGGGCTTTGAGCGCGTTCAGGCAAGAGTGTCTGGAAGCGCACAACAAGTACAGAGCCAAGCACGGCGTACCTCCTCTACAACTAGATAACGAGTTAAGCAGGTACAGCGATGAGTGGGCGAAGATTTGCGCGGATCGAAGCACCTTGGAGCACAGAAAAAACAATCAGTACGGAGAGAATATTTACAGTCTGCACACGCAAGATACTAACATCAAGGGGAGCGTCCCGGTGGACAGTTGGTACACGGAGAAGAACAAGTTCGGTTTCGGTAAGGAGCCGAAGAATTTGGAAGCCGGTCATTTCACGCAGATCATCTGGAAGACGACGGAGAGGTTGGGAGTCGGTGTCGCTATAAAACCGGGTGGAATCTACGTGGTCTGCAATTACTCACCGGCAGGTAACTTCGTCGGGTATTTTGCGGAGAACGTTCTGCCTTTGGGGACGGTCTTGAAGGATGAGAAGACCAAGCAGACTTTCGAATTGGAAGCGCTGAAAGTGCACAACGATTACAGGAGGAAGCACGGCGCGCCAGAGCTGACGCTGAACCAAGGGGTATATAGACGAGAGTAGTTGTTGCATAAACAAACTTAATTGCTTAACACCTTAACTCTCATAATTAAATAACTACTTTCAATTTGCTCGTAATAGCACACCTCTATAAGATGACATTAGTACAGCTTGCTATCAGCTTTATAAACTTGTATAGCTTTAATCAATGTAAGAGGATAAAGACTAATTGATTTATAACTTTGTGTTGTATTTTTGAAGCTTATCTAACTATTCCTTTTTAATAAATAAAGCTTATTTGATCTTTACATTTAGTTTACTCTTAATTTTCATAATTTCTTCTTAAGTTTCATAATTGCTCTAATAGTTATTTGCAGATAATTAAAGAGTTATGGGAGTTAAGGTGTGAATTGTATAATTGAACAATTTTTACCGTGTTATTATATAATTTTTTGTTAGATGTGCGATTACGCCAAGCAATGGGCTGAGAACTGCGCGAATCGCGGCATCTCTCGCAGACCTAACAACCCGTACGGCGAGAACATCTACATGAGTTACTCTTCGGATTACAGCTACACCCCGGGCGCCCGAGAAGTCGTGGCAGCCTGGTACGATGAGTGCAAGGTCTACGCGTACGGAAACGAGGGAGTGCAGAGCGGTGCTCTGCACTTCACGCAGATCGTCTGGAAGGGCACATCGGAATTGGGCATAGGATACGCGAGGAACAACCGTGGAGAGATGTACGTGGTCGCTAATTACAGTCCGAGGGGCAACTTCGTCGGACAGTTCCTCGACAACGTTCAAAGGCCGCACTTCTGACGGTGGCGTTCTCGGTCCTTGAAGTGATATGATTGATCCACTAAACATCAACATCATCAAATCGCTTCTGAAATAATATGAAAATAATACTATACTAACTAAACTAATACCCTTCACCGTCCATTCCACGTTTAGCCTAAAAGATGGAACGCATATAATAATCAATATAGATTATTTATCGTTTCACTCTCATACTACTATATAATCATCATGATTCTTCCAAAGGTTATATTATTCCATGTTTTAGCAGTATTAAGAATATCATTTTAGCTAATTTCCAAAGTTTATACGAAACGAATGAATGAATATATTTACATGTAATATTTTTTATCACCAAGTAATTCGATTACTGTTATATAAATCGTCTTATTAATAAATAAATACAATAATTAATCTATTAATCATTTCCAAAAAAAACACCTGAAAATTCCTAATATTTGCAAATTTTGTTATTTTTGGACAATATATTGGATACACTGCAAATTTGCAATCAAATTATCTAAAGTTTATCATTAAATTAAAACGTTTAATTAGCTAATGGATTGTGCACAAACTTAATTACTTAAATACAATTACGATTCGAAGCCTTAGTTTAAATAATCAATATAAAATGATTCAGCTAAATAAATATTTGATAATGTTTCAAATTATTCTTAATTAATTGATAAGGAAATCTGGGAAAGAGAAGGTAATATTATAAACATGTGAATTAAAGTGTAGAACTTTATCATTAATTTTCATCCTTACTAAATACAATGTTACATTTCCTTAATAATAACTTGTCGTGTCCCGGGATGGAATATCTCTGTGGAATACTTTGTAGTATTGTCGATGTGTAGTCCTAGTGGGTTTTTATGGAAGAGTCTAGATTGAAGTCAGTGTACTTAATAGTATTTATTAACACTTAGATGCTAATGATTCTTAATCTAGGTTCCAGAGTAGAGTCAAACTAGAACTGTTACTAGGATTAGGTTCTTCCTAGGACTCACTATGGACTAACTAGGACTAACTTAAATAACATA